CATTTGAAAAATCAAAGTTGCTACTGCTTTCTAATAGAAGCGGCAACACCGCATTGTCGAAAATATTTTAGTTGGCTAGAGAATGTCCGAATATGCCCTCCATTAAATTTTCAAAGTGATCCGTTGTCTGGTTCACCAGAAACGTCTAATGTGCCATCCACCGTGAATCAGCCTGTATTATGAGAATATTCTAACCGAACAATGATGTTCATTGTCTTACTGACATTTTTTGACGTTTTTATAAACAAAAAATAACTCAACAAACCTTATCGGGTTGTTGGAATTGCCATATGGCAGATAAAAAAAATATTTCTGAAAATATCTGTTTAAAATCTGTTTTTCCTTTAACCTGCTGTCGCAACCCTACGAACGACAACCCTTTGAAGTCGAAACTTGTGTGAGCTAAGGATTAACGAGGTCTTACCTTTTGACGTGTGATTTCTGATATCGATATTAATGTGTTTGTTTTCAGGAAATTATTAAATGTTTTGCCATTTTGTAGTAGGTGAAGATATCGACTTCATATTGTGAAGTATTCCTCAGGAGCTTCCAAATTATTTGTCACAAGACCCCCCTCTCCATTCAATCCCTTTTTCCCAGATGGTGCCCAGTCGCCATCTTGAAAGTTTCATTTGTCAATTTTACTTCAAAATGAAGTAATCATGCATTAGTTTCATTATCCCAAATTTCAATTTGGGATAATGAAATGACTGAAATGAATTGACTGATATTCAACAAGTGTTTTAACAAAATTGGTGTCGTAGTCGACATTTGGTTTTCTGTTTTATTTTTTTCAAAAAGATATTTTTTCCAGATGACTGAAACAACACCGAGCATATTTCTTGCAGCAGAATCCGTTCAACTATGTTCAATCTGTCATGGATACCTATCAGTTGGACCCATCTCAATTTCATACAATGAACCAGTGTGTGGTAGATGCCGACCACTGCCTGAGTGCACTGCAACGTTTTACGAAAATATAGCGAAGTATATGTTTTTTCCTTGTATAAATGACCGTTATGGTTGTGATATCATGTTACCTTGGAAAGCAGTGTCGTCTCACGAAAAAAAGTGTACATTTTTTCCCGTCACATGTCCCGCCTTGAAGTGCATCCAGGATATTAGAAAGGAAGATATTGTGAAACACTTCGAAGAGAGTCATGAAAAGTTGATCACAAATATTGGACCATTCCACGTAACTGTTCATGATGTACCTGTGAATAAGTTACTTCGCTGGGAAGAAAAAACATTCATTATGAAAATTTCCTTTTCCTCACAGAAGTGGTATTTCGAAATTTCATCATGGGAAAAAAGTGAAAGTGCAAAACTGAAATACGAAATTTCACTAGATGGTGACGAAAACGTAAACGGCTCGAGTACGGTTTGCGGTTCCATTTCTACGTACCAGGAGAAGCAGCACCAAACGTCAACTATATTAGAAGTTAACCATGTAAAGTCATTCCAAAGAGGCACTATAAAAATTGAAAAGGAATCGCTGAGCAACCCGTTACTAAACAAAGAGCTTTTGTCAGAGTTAGAATGTCCAATTTGTACCTTTTACATGAGACCTCCGATTTTCATGTGCGTAGCTAGTCACAGTTTCTGTGATTCCTGTAAGGTGAATTTAATGAAATGCCCTTTGTGTCAGTCGGAAATGAAGGATAACAGAAATTTCGTCCTGGAGCGAATAACAAAGCACATTTTTTTCCCTTGCAAAAACGAATGTTCCGGCTGTGATATTGTCGATAGATTACCAAAAATGATTATTCATGAAAAAACTTGTCAACTTGAACCAGAATGTTTCTTGACCTACTCAGTACCTTGTTCTTGGAGAGGACGTCAATCAGAAATCGTTTCTCACTTATCGGAAAGTCATCCAGAGTTTTATATAAACTTGAATCTACCAATTGTTTTGAATTTGAAACATTCTGAAACTATTATTGCTTTCACCGAATATGACAAATGCATTTTCAAGGTTCATATAAATTGGGATGAATTAGCAGGACTCAATGTTTGCGTTAAACTCGTTTCAGATAGGCAGAAACATAGTTATCGATATTTTCTGAATTGCAAAGATCGCAATGAGAATCACAGATACATGAGTATGAATAAGTTCTGCCCCGTAACTAGACCTGAAGATGATACTTTGGACAACTGTTTATCCCTCAAAAAACAAATGATGAAGCCCTTTTCAAAGAATGATATGTTTGAAATCAAAATATATATAGTGGAAATTTGAAGGGAATAGTATTTATCAACTTTTTTTATGAATCAACCACTGCGAGACAAGATTAACGTTTCAAAAGATACTTTTTGTAAAATAAGATCCTATAGAAGAAATACAATCCATTGGTTTCAATATGAAAAAAGTATTCAATTGACGGATACCCTTTTTTAAAAGACTATATTTCGGAAAAAAAGTTTGGGTTTTCTTCTTCTTCGTCTTCGTACAGAAGATGTAGGAATCTTTCAAAGAAAGGAAGAACTGCGTTTATATTTGAAGTTTTTTGTCCATTTCTGAAGACGGAGGCAGATTTTGGCCACCGAAACGTTAAGATCGGTATTGTATAACTTCATAGTTTTCTTTTTTTTTTCTTTTCTTCTCCTTAGTTTTTTGATAACGACAAGTTACTGATGAATAGTGAATTTGACTTTGTGAAAAATACTTTGATTTTACGTAGGAACTTATCGGAGTAAACTAAAAAGTTTCCCCTTTTGACACCTGTATAAAGTTCTTCATTATAATTTTCATATTTTTCAGATTGTGAAAGATGAAAATACTCAATAAAGATCGATGAAAAACCGATTTTCCCCCACAAAAAATGACATTTGTTCAATAATTAATATAAAGGGCTATTCAAATTCGTTTCTGTACATGGGGATTTCGTAAACGATAAGAGATAGAGTGTCGGTTAAATTATGGCAAAGTTGCGTATTTTAGAGATCTATTCAATGATGTGAAGGAATTGAATAAAGCTCTTTTGGTTCTGAAGATATACAGGAAAAACCAAAAAATCACAAATTATATTTTTGCCTATATCTTCTTTATTCGCAGACATATTGAAAATCTGTACACATTTTGCTATTGGCACTTGATGTGTGATCCCAGAATATATCCATGAATCTTCCATACAGGGTGTCATCTGACTTGGGCCACCCCCATCTTTGCATTTTTAAATACGGACCTGTATTTTCAGTTGTAGTTTTTGAATCGTAGACGTTCACTCCATACTGGGAAATTAAATTCAAATTTATATTTCGGGATTTTTTGGCAATATTCGATTATAATTGTTTGCATTATTCCCTTTTAAATTACTGCCTTGGAATTTGGTTGACTGAGTTGAATAAAAACAATAGCAACTTTCACGTCTCCCTATGTACCGTAGAGTTTTTCGAGAGTTTTTTTTCATTCTTAGGTACCTATTCATATTTTTTCCATTGCACTGAGCGTTTTCTACAATGAACTTCGAATAAGAAAACCTTTTATGATTATCTGAAACATATCCACAACGAAAATATATTATATGTGTTTTGATGAGTAGGAAAAAAATGGTAGCAATAATAACATCCGAAACGAACACTATAATTATAATGAAAATTGAAATGAAGTAATTTATATACACAAAAAAATTAATTGTGCAATAAATGTTCGAATTGGAGTCCTTCCATTTCGAGACAAATAATGGGATAATAAGATGGTCTGCAAGATCACCGGATCTTGCTATTTTGGACTATTTCCTATGAGGGACATTTGAAAAATAGGATTTAAGAGAGATAGAAATGTGGAAGACTCGAGATTGAGGATTTTGAATGATGCAACAATGCAGCAAATAAGTGTATTAAGGGCAATGAATAATATGAAAAACCGAATATGAAAAGGATTCCAGTTCGAACATTTATTGCGCCAATAATTTTTTTGGGTACCTATATAAATTACTTCCATTTCAATTTTCATTACAATTATAGTGTTCGTTTCGGATGTTATTATTGCTATCATTTCTTTTTCTGCTTATTAAAACACATTCAATATATTTTTGATGTAGACTTGTTTCAAATAATCATAAAAGGTTTTCTTATTCGAAGTTCATTGTAGAAAACGCTCAGAGCAATGGAAAAAATATGAATAGGTACCTAAAAATGAAAAAAATTCTGGAAAAACTCTACGATAAATAGGGAGACGGGAAAGTTGCTATTATGTTTTTATTCAACTCAGTCAACCAATTTCCAGGGCCGTAATTCAAAAGGGAATAATTCACACAATTATAATTGAATATTACCGAAACATCCCAAAATATAAAATTGAATGTAATTTCTCAGTATGAAGTGAACGTCTACGATCTAAAAACTACAACTGAGGATACACTACAAAAACACACTTTTGTCTATTTTCACTATATTTCTTTATTGTTGACCGGTTTCGGCTTTTACACCATTTTCAAAACTAACTGATTACATTTAAATCTGAGTAATTTATACCTATGTTGCTTATTCTATCATAAATGATTTGATATACCTGATACCCGGTACCTGCGTTTCATATACCTGGAAAATCCATGAACATAACAAAGCTTTCAATATAATGTAGGTTTTGGGATCTGGATTATAGGTTCAGGAGAGGACTATTATTTTCCCATAAACATATTGTGTTCTGGTTTAGATATGTAGATGACATATTAGTAGGCTTCGATGGTTCAACTAGACAAATATCTTATTACTTGAAATTCCTCAATAGTCTACACGATAAGATCAAATTCACCGTAGAGATAGAAGAGAACAGTGAGATAAATTTTTTAGGTCTGACAATATCCAAAAACAATGATAAACTCGACTTTAACATTTTCCGAAAAAACACATTCACAGATTGCACAATACCTTTTGACTCTTTTAACTCGATTTCACAAAAATTGTCTGCATTCAGGTCAATGATACATATAGAGTTTTCACAATACTCCTTTCTGATCAAAACCTCCGAAGTGAAATCGCAATCATTAAAGAAATAGCAGTTAATAACAAAATACGTACCACTCTAGTTAACAACATAATGAATAAATATCAACAAAAATCAATAACGAAAGAACTATACTCAATTTCCACAAGACCAGAACACAAATATGTTAGTATCAATTATACTGGTAGAATCTCCGATAATATTAAAAATTCAAATTACAAACATCCTACACATCCAACGGAAATTTAGGAAACATATTATTTAATGCCAAACCTAAATTAGAGAAAGGAAAGAGATCTGGTATATATCGAATAGAATGTGGTGAATTCACCGCCATACATACAGGCCAAACTGGGAGAAATTTTGATACAAGGTACCACGAACATGTCATTTCGGATAAAAAATCATTAATGTATGAACATCTTCAAAATTCGAAACATAAAATAGAGAAAGATAAAATTTAAAGATCCTACACATATGCGAAAAAGGGAAAATGATGAATCTGTTGGAATCTATGGAAATAAACAGGTCAAAGAAAAATTCCAATTCTATTGTCCTCAACGAACAACTTGATTTAAATAATAGTCCTCTCCTGAACCTATAATCCAGATCCCAAAACCTACATTATATTGAAAGATTTGTTATGTTCATGGTTTTTACAGGTATATGAAACGCAGGTACCGAGTATCAGGTATATCAAATCATTTATGATAGAATAAGCAACATAGGTATAAATTACTCAGATTTAAATTAATCAGTTAGTTTTGAAAATGGTGTAATAGCCGAAACCGGTCAACAATAGAGAAATATAGTGGAAAATAGACAAAAGTGTGTTTTTGTAGTGTATCCTCAGTGAACATGAATTTCCACAAAATGAACAAGTCGTCAATTGAAGAAGTAAAAACTACAACAAAAATACAGGTCCGTATTTGAAAATTCAAAGATGGGGGTGGCCCAAGTCAGATGACACCCTGTATAAAAGATTCGTGGATATATTCTGAGAGTCCATATCAAGTGCCAATAGCAAAATGGGGACAGATTTTCAATATGTCTGCGAATAAAGAAGATGTAGGCAAAAAAATAATTTGACAAAAATGAAATTTTCAATTTGTTTGAATGATCTGATTGCAGACAAATGAAATATGATAATTGAGCAAAAAACAAATAAAAAAACATCCTGTGAATGTGCGTCATCGAACTGCCTTTTTTTAATACGAAATTACAAATGAGTTGAGCTTCTGAAAGTGTCACCTGAATACGTTTTGATATGGATTTTCATTTGACATCGATTAACTTTGGCCAGGAAATGGTGATGAGGTGACGGACTGGTTGAATTAACAGTACGTAGTAGTACATTCTGTAAGGCGAACCAGAGCACTGCATTAGTTGTCTCATCACTTTGATACTGTCGAACGCAGTTGTTACCGAAACATCAAGCATGAAAACCTCCACACCGTGATAACATACACTTAATAAACATATTGCTTGCTTTTGTTGATTTTCATAAGTTATTCATGAAGATAAATCTGTTTTGTTGGTACATATATAGTACTTTATGTTCCGAAATTATTCGATATATATTTCACTGAGATCCTTCCAGAGTATCCAATAAAGAGTCCAGACTCAATCATCGCGAAAAAGATTGTGCCTAATCACGACACCCTTCAGAATGCTTCAGCCGTATGTTTGGGCTGGATATTTGGGGCTAGATAACATAGTTATAATACACAAGACCAGTTTTGCAATTGAAACTCTTCACTTGGTATCAGCATCTTGCAGAAAATGATTTCCCACTTTGTCCTTGAAACTAATCAGTTTTGTGATAGCTTTGGTGATAGCTTTTGTCTATTGTTAGGTTAGGTTAGGTACTGAATTAGCACATGAGCGCGGATGTCGTCTTCACATTCAACAATACAACTTTTTTCCCACCAAATCAGTTATATATTTTCTGGTGAAAGTTTTTGTTTATCTTGCACTGAGAGCACTGTATCTGATGTAATGTAGCTGATTTGAAATAATAATAATAATAATAATAAGACGTTTATTAATCCGAATTCACAATTACATGACCAGTATAATAATACATATATTTTGTGATATACAGATTAATTGGCCTATTGTCAGCTTTCTGATACGAGTTCAGGTGCTGTTGAGGCCTAGAGGGAAAATGCATATACTGAGACTAAGATTGAGATTATTATATTTCGAACATTATGAAAACTGTCAGGTGAGTACTAAATATCTTAATGTTGAGATAGCTTCTCTTTTACCATTCTTTTGAATGACGCCATCGATTTTATGAAGTCAGTGATCCGAAATTTATTCAGAAGATTTGCCGTGCAGTATGTGAAGGAACGTTTGAATATCTCTTTCTTATGGGAGGGTATAGTTATAATTCCTCTTCTACGAATATTTACATTA